GCCAAAAACACTGAGAGACAAACGTGAAGGAAGAGGTGCCAGAATTACTTATTTGTTACTTAGATTTTCAGATAAAGGAGAAACTCTGTAGCTTCAAAAAATGTATGTAGCAGAACCAGAGACACTTTCTTCTTTTTAACTTACAATTTCTGCAAAATGTACTGGGCTAAGTTTGCCTTTGCATTACCCCAAGCTGGTATAATTGTATTCCATTCTACTCATCAACACTGGAAAAAAACTCTCAGAAATGTAGCAGAAGACAACTGTTTTCTTAGTCAGCAATACATTGTTGAAGTGAATTTTCTATTTGTATTAGGTGAGGAATGTGCTTAGTTAAACATTCACACCACTGGTGATGAGAAGTGATGCATTTTTTATTTACAGCTGTCGCTAAGCCTTAGTCCTTTTAGTCTTACACACTTTCTTTTTTTTTCATGTTTTAACCCAGCACTTAAAGCTGTCCTTGTTTTCTGTCAGTGATCTGGCAGCTCCTGGATTCACTGGCTTTGTAGGTCATGTTGCAAATTTAGTCTCTTTTACAAGTTTCTTCACAATACCATGGAAAGCATAGACTTGAAATGATAGTTGCCAACTTAGAATGGGAAAGTTATTTAGTGTGTCATGAAGGTCACCTGAAGTATCTTTTTAAAAGCATTAAACCCCATTTTTTTTAATGCAGCACCAAATTTCATCAGAAAAACTCTCAAAGCAGAGGTAGAAAGTTTTATTGAGAGCAGTGGAAGTCTCAGGGGCGACACTGGGGTGTTTTGGTCTAAGTTCTCTGTTCTGCACATTTCGTTTTCCAATGCCTGCCTGAGAACAAATGAAACTGACTTTTAAACTCACTTATCAAGCCTCTTCCTCTTTTCACCAATTACAGGAGTGATGCTTTGGTTTTGATCTCCTTGCAGGCACCAAACAGAATGGGAGGAGACAACTAGAAGGACCACGCTTTAACATTGATCCTTCTGAGTGATTTCAGGTCTTGCTGTGACTTACAGCAACAGGCTGGTTTTATCCCATTGCTGCAGTAACTCAGCAGCAGCCAGTCCTCATGAAGCTGCCGCAGGATTAGACAGAGCCAGAACCGCCCTGTACACCACCTGCTTACATTACACAAATAACTCAGCACACGCGCATTTTGTTCCACTGAGGGTCTGGCCCACGGCACTGATGTTTACAACACCAGGGAGTGTGACAAGTGAACTTGCTGTTTCAGATAAATAGTGATTATCTAAGTTGAAATGGGTTATAATGAAACACTGCATTTTTTGGGTACTTTCACCTACTGAGAAAAATCAAAGATCGTCTTTAAACTAGGCCCTATTTTCCCCGTTTTCTACATGTATGAAAGACTGGGACAAACCTGGTTCTCTGAGCCTTGGTCACTGCCACCTGTCCATATTGGCCTGGTCAACACCACCTCTTCCCTGTAGAGATGGAGGCTAAGGCCTCCTTGTCCCTTTCCAGCTAGAAAAAACTAAATACACCAGCATGTTAAGAGTGGAGATGATGGAGAGTGTTTCAATATGTGTTACATCACAACAACAGAGAAGAACCCCCCCCGACCCTTTTTGGAGTCTGTCAGCTGGCCTGAAGGCCTAGCCCGTTGGTATGACTGGCTATTATGACAAGTATTCTGCAGTCTTCACCACGGCTTCAGCTCTGAATAATTCAAGACTTCTTTGTAAACCTGTGCCCAAGAGCCTATGCTAAAATCTCTGCCCTCTGAAAAAATACATTAAAATTTTAACCTTTTATTCCCCAGCTGAAATGAGCTTTAATCAGCTTCATCCTTTCAGGACTGAGAAAAAAAATTACAAGAGAAAAAATCACAGATGCAAGTCATATGTCACCACTTTAAATTATAATCCACATTTCTGTTTAAGTTTTTGTATCTTCTGTTACATACAGTAAATGTTAAGGATTTTTCACTTCTTCCAGATTTGTAAATCCCTTAATCTCTCAAGGGTTACCATTCACTTATAAATCTCTTTGATCTGCTCCTTTCCTTGTCTTACTTAAAAATAAATAGTCTTCTTTTAACTTCATTTTTTACCAGATTTCATTTTCATAAAGATGGTTTAAAACCAAATTATTTGGATTGGTTTGTGTTATAACATTTATTATTGAAAGCAAGTAAGTCTGACTTTTGTTCTCAGAATCTAAGAAAACAGATTCAAACACAACCTGCAAGAGAATGTTTAAACATAATGAAAGAAAAATACACAGTGACAAAACATTTGAACTGAGCAGCTTGAAATGGATATTTTACAGATTCAGGGAGATGTCAACTTATGAGAGAACATTGTAGGATAACCAAAGTAAAAAAAAAGAAATATAAATTCACTGTCCTTTTAGAAATCATAGGGTTTTTGTGAACAGACTTGTTTAAAATGGTATTTTAAAAGGGACGGTAAAGTTGTCTTCTTTCAAATTAAAAAAAAAAAAAAAGTCGATCTCATAAAAAGATAAGCATTTAAAACATTACTTTTACTCATTTCAGAGGATTATGCATCCATTTTCATTGAATTTAGAACAATCAACCGTTTGCAACTGAAACCAGTTATTACATCATAATTACAAATCTCCTGGCAGTAACACAATGCAGTGTACTCACACCTCTTATTGAAGTGAATAGAAACAATCCTGTAGAATTAAATTCATTGTGTCAGATACTGAATTTCTTAAAGCCTGGAGGAAGAAAAAAAGAGGATAGAAGAGTCTGTGGATGCTGCTGTAATTGTACATAAAAGAGTATGCAATGCATCATATCAAACATTGCAGATAACAAAACTGATCTATCAGTTGAAGTAAGATTGAAGTAAGGTGAAGATCTCACATATGGCAAAACTTCTTATCCATGAAGAAAATTAAACACTGGAATTGTTGAGATGTTAATTACTGTTTCTTGGCATCTAAAATATATTCAGATATTTTTAAAAGACTGCTTTCCTCCAAGTCTAATGAAAATTTATTCATCATGTCATCCATGTCATCCAGAGAGGTGGGCCCATGCCAACCTCTTGAAATTCAACAAGGCCAAGTGCAAGGTCCTACATCTGGTTCAGGGCAATCCCAAGCACAAATACAGGCTCAGCAGAGAATGGATTGAGAGCAGCCCTGAGGAGAAGGACTTAGGGGTGTTGGTTGATGAGAAGCTCCACATGAGCTGGTAACGCATGCTCGCAGCCCAGAAAGCTAACGTATCCAGGGCTACATCAAAAGAGCTGTGGCCAGAAGGTCAGGGGAAGTGATTCTGCCCCTCTGATCCTCTCTGGTGAGACTCCACCTGGGGTACTGCCTCCAGCTTTTGAGTGTGATGGCTTTGGGAAGAAGGGAAGGGTTCAGGTGTCCAGCACCAGGTCAAGAAGTTCTCAGGATCACTGCCATCAAAGGAGAGAGAGCACTTCGAAGCAAACTGTCTAATTTATATTGAATGCGACATTCATGGTATAAAGTAATCCTATTGGCCAGCTTCGGTCAAGTGCCCGGGTCTTGCTCCTCCTCATTGCTGCACCTGGTGAGCTTGAAAACACTGAGACCTTGAAACCCACACACCATAGCTGTCTATAAAGTAAATATTTTCACAAATTCAGAGGCTAGAGCCTTCTAAAAGTGCATTTTTCCTAAGCATTAGAAGATAAATCAGTCCTGTGTTGCTCAAATCAGGACATTTAGAAAGACTAGGAATTTATTGTTATTATTGCTATTACTGTAAAAGATAATGTATTTCTCACCCCTTTCCCAATAAATTACTGTCTATACATTCATTGGGTGCGGTGGGGAGACAGCAGCTGAAAGGATGAACAAAGCAGAGTTTGAGAGTGACTGCTTTTTGATGTTTCATAAGAGAATGGCCATTGCTGGGACTGATTCTCCCTCTAGGTTAGAGCTAAAGTAGACTCTGTACTCTGCTGTTACTCTTCAGTGCCTTACTTGCTTGTTCAAGCCCAGATTGTTTGCCAGATTTGACATGTTTCAAGTTTCACCTTTTGGTCAGATTGGCATAAATATTTTAAGGCATTTTTAAGCCTACCAAAATCCTGGGATACACGTCTGCTATGTCCATCTGGATTTAATTCACATAATCTATCCTTTGTAGTTGCAATTCAGGCATTGCTAGTGCTTTGAGTTCTACTTTTCACTGTCTGTGGCAGACAATTTTTTTTCATTTTGCCTTGCAAAGGCTTTGATATAACTAAAATCATTGGGCTTGGTGTGGCGTACATGGATGTGTCCTGACTGCATATGTAATGCAGGATGTTGGACAAGGTAAGATGGGGACATTTTTTGCAATTTTTAAAGATTTGACTAAACTAGCAGGTAGCCCCCTGTAAACTGTGCAAGGAAAGCAGCTAATTGCTGGCAGCTCAACCTGCTATCCAGCAAAGGTGGGGTGAACAACAGTAGATGAATATTTTATTTCAAGTTGTCCCTTTGGAGTGATCAGATCCACCTGAAAGTTAGTATAGTCGGTATAAAAGAAGCAAAGGAAAGAATTATCAAGAAATTCAGTGACATCATTGTGCTTTGCAGATGTCAAACCAAACCTGTTTTCTGAAGAAAAAAAAAAGAAAGAAAATCCCAAATATTTACGGTGCATTTTCACTGGAACATTTTTTGGAAACTTAATTTACTCTAAACTTGACTTCTGCTAGAAAGTATGTTAAACTGGAAATTAATACTTGAAAAGATTTAAAAATTCAATTAAAAAGATCACCAAAATGACACATTTCTCATAAAATACATTAATCTTTAAACCAATATTTTTTTTGTGAAAAAAAAAGTGGTAAATCTATTTCTTGCTTAAAGTATTAGCTCTCAGAAGTAAAATTTTATGAGAAAAGCAGTTAATAAATAATACAGGTAATACCTTTTTTTTTTTTTAAACTATGTTGTACCTTTCTAGTATTGAGAGGGAAAAGTACACTTAAGAAATGCAATGGGAAATACAGACTTCACCTGAGACCTGTAAAATTTATTGTGTGCTTTTTCAGAGCTGCTGAAACAAAGCAGAGGCAAGGCGAGATGCTGCAAAAGTGGCTCTGATCAACCCCCTCTTCCATGAATCGCCTTGTCACAGGTTCACAAAGGAATTCATCATGGAAAGTGTTTGAGAGTCTGTTTCCTCAACCAGCATAAATGCAAAATGACACTTAAGGAATTTTAGTGTAGTACTTTAGTTTAGTACTGAGATATGACTGTGGTTTATTAATAAAATTCACCAATAGGATTATTAGAACCTCTGCAAATATATCTTCAGTGTTAATCCAGGTAACTCAGAGTTTGTGTGCTTCTCTACTATGTAGGATGATAGCAGTTTAGAAGATTGCCAGGGGGAAAAAATCTCATGAAGATTTTGTAGGCAGAATAAGTAAGACCTTGTAGGCAAAATCAAAGTTCTACTTAGCCTATTGTCTCCTCTCTAGCAGTGACCAACAGAGCACACGTGAAAGGTATTAATGAAGGAAATCTACACGATTGTTATTCTTCAAAACTGGTAAATTTTCATGCAGCTGACAAAATTCAAAGTTTTACTGTTTTTTCACCACTGTTCTTATAAAGATTGTCCAAGCCGATTTTGTGCTTAATATTGTCGTATTAAAACATCAGTTTTGCAACTCTGTGTTAACCCTTGAAAGTTGCTTAGATTTGTTTTCTCTGGAGATTATACTTAGATAAAATTTATAGCTCAGAACAATACTATGTAACAAATATCATCTTAGGGTGTTAGAAATCTCTAAAAATGAAAGCAGTAATTTGCTAAAAGACATCTCTAGTGGATTCAGGAAAGCTTAATTGAATTCCTCTCATGTTTGTATTTCTGATAAGTGTGGAAAAGATTTTGAAAAGTTTAGAAACATTACTGTTTCCTTGTATTTTGTGAGATGATCTGTAGTGTTCATCTTCTGAGTAAAACACCTTGTACTCATAAGATATATTTGGGAAACATGTAGAAACAGATGACTGCAAGACAGCCTGCTCTGTGTCTGTTTTACAGATGAAAGGATGGTTTCTTTTCCAGCACTGTAAATTTTATACATTTTGGAGAGACAAAAATCCATAAAAATTAGGAAAACTATAGTATGATTTATTTTTGGTGAAATTTAAAGGGAGTTTTGATTTCAGTAATTTATATTTTTTTATGGAAATGTTTGCGGTAAAAGGTTATGTACTTTACAGAGTTCTGCTTGGATTTCCTTGGGGATATTTAAAAGCCAGCATAAATATTTCAGCAGCAGGGTGTTAACACTACAGTGTTCAAAACCCATACATTAACTAGAAATTCAGTGGAACCATATTGGGTAGAAATCTGTTTAACTGTGTCATTGAACACCTAGGGTCATCCAAGGAAATCTGTCCCAAATTATCTCATGTTGCTTTTCTAATTTTCCCCCCATAAGAGAGGAGAAAGAACGAGCTTAAGTGAAATTTTACCCCTTGCTATACCTGGTTAATTCATGCAGCTATTGGATTCTACTGAAAATGCAAAAGCAAAATTATGGATCATTTCATCAATATGGCCATAGAAGCACTTTATTAAGTGACTACATTACTGTAGATGTACTTTATGAGATGCAAAACCTGCACAGTCAGAATTATCAATGCGGTGATAAGTATTCCTGCAAACTAGAGAGAAATTATTTAACAGAAGGGGCATTTTGTGGATTCATCGCAAATAATTATGTTTAAGACTTTAGACAGATGAGCAACAGTATCACAGGTAAATCCCGGAGCCAGGAGATAGACTCTTCCATACATACATTAGCAGGACAGGTAAGATCAGATGAAAGGCAGCAGGGCATTAACATCAAAATATATACTGCTGAGCCACCAGTCACTCCCAGTTTATTTTAGAAGTGCTCCAGAGGGATGCTGCTCTGGTTCACAAGAAAAGCTAAGAACAGCTTCAAAATTTTAGCCAGTCATTTTAGGCTTATTATAGTCAAGTTATGTTTGAGCTATGAAAACAAGAGGAATATTTTATCTTTTTGACTGAGGAGGGATAAACAGGTCTGGACAGAATAAAGCAGATTTTTTTCCTTCTTTTCTGCTTCTCCTCATTGCCAGTCTTGTATTTTCTTCCTGTCTTCACACCTGGCAAAAACTTTTGTTAATGCTCCAGAACCAGATACATCTCCTACATAATTTTCATTTCTGTAAAGAAATGGAAAATTCCAAATTGCCTTTTTTTCTCCCATAAGCGTGTGTCTTCTTTACAATAATGGCATTCTTTATTGGGTGGAAAATACTTCAGAGCATTTTACAAGCTTTGCGTTATCATTTTCCTGGGCCCTTCTCCCGCTCTCTTTGTCATCTTTCATTATCCATCCCATTATCCATTGCTGGGATAACGCTTTCCTTCTTTTTATCCTCCTTTATTGGTACAGATGAGGGTCTTATTTCCACTGCATGCCAGTGCTGAGATATTTCAGAGCATGTTTGAGCCATAGCAAACACCAAGTTAGAAAAGCCTCGCACAATTCACTGACTTATCTAGTGAAATTGAATAAATCAGGCTCGAAACAGCCTGGCTAGATAGAAAAGAAGGAACTCTGAGTAGGTAGTGTGAAGATCACGGGCAAGAGGAAAAGCATATCAGATAAACCAACTCAACTGTATCAGGAGAAGAATGATTTGAGAAGGACCAGTAGGATCTCTGTAGTGGAGCTAGCTGAGCAAGCCTCTAGAATGATGAATGCTTACTGAAAAGCAAACATTAAAGCATTTTTGGTTAATCTCTCCTTTCGTCCTTCCCTTTAATCAACAGCTCACTAAGTGATTTAGCACTCTTATTTGCTGTCATTGTAGGCAGACTGGCAAGCATCAAATGGCATCAACAACCCTAATGTTCAATAGATCAATGTTTAAGGAGAAAGAAACCAGAGTTTATGAATTGTCAGAGTCCTTTCAGAGTAATCAGATGCTATACAAAATGTTGGTAAAATGAATAACAGCCACAGTAACAGTGATTGACAAAAAATGACTCCCAAACTGTTTGCTGTGGAAAGAAGCAGAGGGAGAGGCATTAAAAATGACTCAATTTTGCAGTACTAAAACATGTCCGTAGTTGTAAAATATACGTAAATACATCATAACCAACCACCTCTGTTCTAATCACATCCTCTTATTTCTTCCCTAAGGGTAACCTAAAGGATGCTGATGACCCAAGTACTAGTATTGGAGCCTATCATTACATGCTAGAATCAAACACTGGAAAAACTATGCTGGAATTTCAGGTATAAGGATGACAGTCCACCTTCCGCTTCATTCCCATTTGAATGAAACACCTTAGTTTCATGACTAATACCTAATAAAACTCATGGCATTTGAGGCATGGTGAGGATATTGTGATGATGAAGAATGAGAGAAAACTGTGTTAAAATTGGATTTGAATGATTAAAAGCTAACTTCAAAACTCCCCTACAGTAAGTAAAATGGCAACGTCGTGTGACTGCTATATTAGAAAACAGCAGTGTTCCCTTCTGAATCAAATATCATCTACATAGTGCTGTACTTAAACTGAACATTTGATAAAATGGCCTGTCTGATTCCAGTTCCTAAGGAAAAATAACAAGCTAAATCTACGTTATTGGAGAAAATATTGTGGACATTAACCTTACAATAGGTACATCCGAGAGAGAGAGCGAGAGCACACCTGTCTTCCTGCTCTGGTGTTCCAAAGAACAATCTAAAAACACTGAACATAAGTGAATGAATTGCCATTCAGTGTCTCATGTAACACATATAAGGGCAAATATTCTTGTAATGCTGGTCATGTCAGAAGGATGGTGACCACCTCTGGTGCTCTGACAGAGCCAGCCTTTTCAAAGTTTTGCTTTGGCTGAAAGAAGTTTGATACAACCATTCAGGTACACTGAGGCACTAATGAAATCTCCAGGCAGCAGTTTGTTTACAGCTTTCTAAATAACCAAATCATATTTAATACCTTCACCCACAGCTTTTCATATAGGTACCAAAGTAGATCCACATATTTCTGAGTCAGTTTGCTTTTCTTCCATTTGATGAAGTGTGAGTTGAGCTGACGTCAAACAAAATCTCAAACTGCCTGCAGTATAGTGTAGGGTTATACCTTTTGTTAGTGAACACAAATAACTGGAAGTACATGATATGTTATGGGGACAATTCTACTTCACCTTACCTGAACAAGCAAGACATGGCCACACTTAAATATCAAATGAGTACAAAGGGGGATCAAAATCAGGAAAGTAATCTGAGTATTCATAGACCCCAATTTGAACTGTGTGTTTCTGGAAACCTATGTATTTTACCCGAGTTGCAACTAATACCTCACAGTGACATGTCCAACACAGTGTGAAAAGTGATCCTATGGGAAAGGTTGCCATATTTACTCAATATTATAAGTAACCATACTTCACTGGAGATGCAAAACATTCAGGAGAGTTGCTGTTGCCTAAGTTATGCCTTTTTGAAGTCCTGACCACCCTCTCCTGATCCCAAGATGCAATTCATCCAGGGAAGGAAACCAACAGAAATTTGAGACATGACCAAAGACTAGTTAAAAAATCAGGCCTTTAACACTCTTGAAATACAAAAAACATTTAACCGAGTGAGATGCTTTAATCTATGAGTAGAGAGTTTTGTGCAAGAAAATATGTTTGTAAAACCAAATCCAAAAATATCCCAATTAATTTTAAAGACCTTTCCTTCCCACTTTGACCAGTAAGCCAAGAAGATTTAGCAATTGATCCAAAATCCCTGTAACAGTGCTACAAACAGAAATGGATGAGCAGCCTTCCCAGGGGAAAAGATTGATATCTACTGTAGACATGTTAAAATCCAATGGTAAGTAAGAACTACCCCTCTATTCCACTCTTGTGAGACCCCACCTGGAGTACAGCCTCCAGCTCTGGAGTCCCCAACAGAAGAAGGACATGGACCTGCTGGAGCGTGTCCAGAGGAGAGCCACAAGGATGATCCCAGGGCTGGAGCACCTCTCCTGTGAGGAGAGGCTGAGAGAGTTGTGGCTGTTCAGCCTGGAAAAGAGAAGGCTCTGGGGAGATCTCATTGTGGCCTTTCAGTACCTAAAGGGGGCCTACAGGAGAGCTGGGGAAGGACTTTTTGCTAGGGCACGTAGTGATTAGGACAAGGGGGAATGGCTTTAAAGTGGAAGAGGGCAGGTTTAGATTAAACATTAGGAAGAATTTTTTCTCTTTAAGGGTGGTGAGGCACTGGAACAGATTGCCCAGAGAGGTTGTGGAGGCCCCATCCCTGGAGGTGTTCAAGGCCAGGCTGGATGTGGCCTTGGGCAACCTGGTCTAGTGGGAGGTGTCCCTGCCTATGGCAGGGGGGGTGGAACTTGATGATCTTCAAAGGCCTTTCCAAACTAAACCATTCTATGATTCTATAAACTAATACAACAGGTTTACAGATACAAGCAAATCAGAACAGAGATTGAAGAACCCTACACTATTTCCCATTAATTAATGACTTTCCAAGAAAATCTACACTTGTTTCTGGGTCCAGGGAGTAGTCTGAACTAGTACAGGTATATGCTATTTTAGAATGCGTATGTGTCTCTCCCATACCTCCCTCCACTTCCCCTTACCATCCATCCTAGGCCTCCATAGCATCTTGGTTTCACTCAGGCAGAATGATTTTAGAAACATTTCTGGTTTGGACCAAGAAATTTTAGAAATCTTAAATGTTGCAGGATGAGAAAACCATTTCCATCCCAGCTCTAGTCAGAAGTATCCCAGATGTAATTACAACCCAGGAAAGGATCTAGTTCAGAGTTCCTAGATGCAGGCAAGTGTCTGAGAGTTGTCTAATAGTACCTACTGACCCATTAAAATGCATCAACTATGGTTCTGTTGAAACAATTCATCATTTCATGCATTTACTGTGACATATCCATTGTGTTTCACAAAAAGTTCAAAATGCTTAGAGGTGCTAGCAGCAACATTTGCATTTAAGTAAAAATGGCTACATTGATAGTTGTAATAACTTGATTTAAGGATGCTGGGTATCTGCCCTATTAAAACATTGTCCTAACAGAACATTTTCATAGAATCATAGGAAGGCAGAAGTTGGAAGGGATCTCAAAATATTATCTAGTTCAACCTTTCATGGGAAAAGGAGCCTAGATGATCTTATCTAGCATCCTCTCCAATCCCATCTGGAAAACTTCCAGTGGTGGGGATTCTACCATGTCACTGAGGAGGTTGCTCCAGTGACTGATCATTACTGTAAAAAATTTCTTTCTAGTATTAAGATGAAACCTCTCTCAGTGCAACTTGTACCCGTTGTCCCTTGTCGTCTCCATGTGGCTCCTTATGAAGAGAGAGTGTCTGTTCTCTTTGTAGCCACCCCTTAAGTACTGGAATACTGTGAGGAGGTCCTGCTGAGCCTTCTCTTCTCCAGGAAGAAAAGACTTGACTCTTTTAGTCTTTCCTTATACACTCTGTCCATCTTCGTGGCCCTTCTTTGAACTATATTCAGTCTATCTAACTGCATCTTTTTTGAATTTTGGGGACCAGAACTGAACACAGTACTCCAGGTGTGGCCTGAAAAGCACAGAGTGGAATGGGATGATCACATGTCTGTGTCTGCTAGTGATGTACAGCAGGTCAGCCCCTAACCTGTACTGATGCATGGGGTTATTCCTCTCTAGGTGCAGGACCCTACACTAGCCCTTGTTGAACTTCATTATGTTTCTCTCTGCCCAACTCTCTAGCTTGTCCAGGTCTCACTGTATGGCAGCACAGCCTTCTGGTTTGTCAGCCACGTCACCCAGTTTTGTATCATCAGCAAACTTTCTGAGGGTACACTCTGTCCCCTTATCCAGGTCGTTGATGAATATGTTGAACAGGACTGGACCCAGTACTGACCCCTGGGCAACACCGCTAGTTACAGGCCTTCAACTGGACTCTGTGCTGCTGACCACAACGCTCTGAGCTCTGCCACTCAGCCAGTTCTCAATCCACCTCACTGTCCACTCATCTAACCCACACTTCCTAAGCTTACTTATGAGGATGTTATGGGAGACAGTGTCAAAAGCCTTGCTGAAGACAACGTCCGCTGCTCTCCCCTCATCCACCCAGCCAGTCATGCCATCATAGAAGGCTATCAGATTGGTCAAGCATGATTTCCCCTTGGTGAATCCATGCTGACTACTCCTGATAACCTTCTTTTCCTCTACATGCTTAGAGATGACATCCAGAATGAGCTGTTCCATTGTTTTTCTAGGTGTGGATGAGAGGCTGACTAGCTTGTAGTTTTCCGTGTCTTCCTTCTTGCCCTTTTTGAAGACTGGCGTGACATTGACTTTCCTTCAGTCCTCAGGCACCTCTCCTGTTCTCCATGACGTTTCAGATAATGGAGATAATAAAGATAATAAATAAAGATAATGGAGAACAGCTTCACAATAACATCTGCCAGCTCCCTCAGCACTCGTGGGTGCATCCCATCAGGGCCCGTTAAAGCATCTGCTTTTTCTTTGTCCCTATTAGTGAGATAACCATCTTCAACAAGTGTTGGTCAAAAGTTTTTTTTAGACCTCCTCTTGTTATTAACGTACTTACAAAAGCCCTTCCTGTTATCCGAAACAACACTCTCCAGTTTCAATTCTAACTGAGCTTTGGTCTTTCATGTCTTCTTCCTGCATGTAGGAACCACAGCTCTGTAATGTTCCTGTGAAGCCTAACGTTGCTTCCAGAGATCATCATACAGTTTGTTTTTCCTCTTGATCTCCACAAGGAGGTCCCCTGTTCAGCCAAGGTGGTCTTTTGCTCCTCTTGCTTCACTTACAACACAGTGGAATTGCCTGCTGCTGTGCTCCTAAAAGGTGGTTCTTAAAGACTGACCAGCACTTGTGGACTCCTAAACTCTCAAAAGCAGACTACCAGTATACTCTGATAATTAGCTCCCTCAATAGTTTAAGGTTTGCTCTCCTGAAGTCCAGGGTAGCAACCCTGTTGTCCTTTTTTCTCATTAAACTGAAAATTTTAAACTCAACCATTTCATGATCACTGTGGCCAAGACAGCCGCCTACCTTCACATCCCCAACAAGTCATTCTCTGTTCTCAAACAGCAAGTTTATGGAGGGCATCTTTCCTAGCTGGCTCACTGAGTACCTGTGGCAAGAAGTTACCTCCTGCAAGCTTCAAGAATTTCCAAGTCACAACAGTATGATATTCCTAGTTGATGTCTAAGAAGTTGCAACCTCCCATAAGGCTACCAATCTTGAAATTTCTCG